ATATATATGTATATATATATATATATATTTTATATATTATTGTATATATTACTGTACATATACTGTATATTACTGTACATATACTGTATATATATATATATATATATATATATATATCACACTGCATATGTAAGTATGTACTGCATAAACTATATGTATGGCCACATATGCATTTTAATAATTGTGTGTTAAATTATATACCTTTTTAAAGTCTCATCATATGCATATAATATATTTAATATATAGGAAATATATGTATCAAAGGAATACACTGTGTGTTTTTGAAGTAGTTAGTAAAAGTGCAAGGTAAACGGTTTGCCCAACAAAGCTGCACAATTTGCTTCAGATGTGTACTATTGCATTATACATCTGTGTTGCGCACAGAATTGAAGTCCACAGTGAAATCTGGATGACCTTCTGTGAATACGTCATCGTTTTTGTGAGGGGAAGTAGTCTCTTCAAAGTCCGCCTCATGCGCATCACCAAATTGCTTAGACTCCGATGATGCATTGAATAAACCGTCACTTACAAACTTTTCATGCATAGGACTACTGTGACTATCCACAGAAATATCGGATAATGTCGGAGACGACACAGAAGTATTGCTCTGCTTAGGAGTTACTGGAACTGTCCCGACTCCTATTGATTGAGGACGGGGACGAGCAATACCGTCAAAATCCGGTATGGCTGAATCTATGCTGTTTGAGGTTCTAACATACGGCTGTCGTTGCCCACCAGCAAATACCTTGGAACGACCTGGTTGACGGTCGGGGGCAGATGAATTTGGAAAAGTCTGTAAGGAGGACATACGTGGTAACGTAGGCTTTGGTTGTCTCTGTCTGTTTGGCAGGAGCTGTGGGGGAGAAGAGTGGGGTTCCTCGCGTCGCCGTAGCAACTCAAGTATAGATCCCATATCCTTGTTTATTCTTCCCTCCAAACGATTAACCTGAGTTTGTAATTCGTCAAGTCTCTTTTCTATATGTGGATTTGATACGAAGTCACTAACGTCTTCAACAATCACGTTACCATATGCGTCATCCGATATCAGATGGTTCATTTGTTGCGAAGGCAGTTTCTTTGTTTGCGTGTAATGCCTCGCTTTTTGCTTTGTCAACGGTGCGGCTTCTTCGCCTATATGTCTACTTGGGCCGGAAACTGCATGTACAATTGAATTCACCCCTGACAAAGCTCCTAAAATAACATAAGAGATATGTCATTAAATATATAACATATTAACATTTATTACAAATAATAATAATAATAATAATAATAATAATAATAATAATAATAAATTAATAATATAGGTAGATTTATAAAGTGCATATCAACAAGGTCTCTAAGCTCTAGCATCTATTAATAATACTTTTTATTATGATGATAGAATCTATGTAGAATTCTAGTGTGCTATCCTTTCTATTCCATGAATCTTGCACAAACTTTGTCTCAACTTCAGATAATACAACTATTACAATATTTACCTTCTTATTATTAAATTAGATTCTGATTGAAACAATCTATTAGATACCTTATGGTAGAGTATGTTACACTCTTGTTCTACCTATTAAATATCATGAGTAAAGAAAACAAACTCCAAAGTAATCAATATCAAAGTAAATCAACCAGCAAACTAAAGACAACTGGAGACAAACCATGCCTCACAGTCGCAAAGTGGGACAACCCAGAGTTGCCAGAAAGACATGCGTCTCCTTGAATTATATTGAATTCAATCATATTACAGAAGGATAAAAATTACATCATAAAAAACTGATTGTAGCGGTTAAAAAAAAAAAAAAAATACATATGAAAACAATTTAATACAAATACTACATATTTTTTAATTTTAATTAATTAATGTTTTTTTTTCTATCACACTATTTATTAAAATTATTTTGATAAAATTGGTTTAAAAACATGAAGGCAGTCTACTTTAAATTCCAACTTTGCCGAAAGGAAATGTAATTTAATTTAATTATTGAAGAGTTAATAATTAGATTATGCTATTCAATTTGAATTTATATTAAACAGAATAGAATTAGGCAAAAGATCATTTACCAATAAGAAATTCGTTTTTGCTTAATCAGTTACTAGAGATAACGAACAATAGCCTAATTGCAAATCAATACATTACGATGAAATTAAAGATATACAGTCTGTAGTAAAAATCAGAAAAAACCTCCTCAAAAATAACATTGAACAACAGCTATGTGACGCTCGGTTTCCACAGAATTGCTCACCACCATTCGCCGACAGTTGTCAGGAAGGTTAAACCTGGTTCAACTTTGCAGATTGCGTTGCAGAAGAATCAGGGTGTATTGCTAGCTGCCCTGACGCAATCGGGAAGGCACCCCGATTCGTCTGCAAGGCAATAGACTAAGTTGAACCAGGTTCAACCTTCCCGACAACTGTAGGCGACTGTCGCCGATATGGTGATCGATTCTTTAGAAACCAAGCTTCAGACCAGAAATCTCTGTGAAAAGGGCAATGTGTCACAACCTTTGAGAAAATTGAGAATTCGGAACTAAATCAATATTCCAACAAAAACTTAATGGTCATTTTAGAATTTTAACCCACTAAGTGGGTTAAAATTTGCTGCCATGGGAGTGGCCACACCCCCACCCTACACCCATGATAGGGGTACAAAGATACACATTGTTTTCAAACAGTTCAGAAAAATTGAAAATTGTGTTGATGGTATTGGTGCTGAAAATTACCACAATCATTAACAATAAAATATCAGTAATATAAATAATCATAATATAAATAATTATATAATTATTATCACAATGGTGATGATGATACGAATTTGGTGGTGGTGATGATTATTATAATAATGATGATAATATTTATAATAGTAAGACACAATCTACATGGTACTTATGATATAGATAAAAGTTGTTAATGTTAATTCTCATCTGATCATTCTTTCTTATATTACAATAACTCCACCTTAATCATAACTTTTAAAAATCTTTGCTGAAGGGGAAGAGGTTAGCCAGGGGTGATTAAAGCACCTGCACAAGGTTGTCTTGTGCCATGCAGCAAGTGCAAGCATATATGAATTAATGGGGGCAAGTTTTGTATGGTACAGTGAATGGAAGCTACACAGTGCACGATACATATGTTAATAGTGGGTGTAACACAAAAGCTTGAAAAGGTGAATATCATCCCAAACATGAAACATTATAACAAAAATGTTGTACACGCAATAAGGAGGCTTTTTAAATTTTGCATTCAATTCAATATTCATTCCACACAACAATGAAAATGATAATAAGAGATGTTAATCAAAAGGGTAATGCTACCATGATGGATACCAAGAGCAACAAAAAACAAGAAAGATAATATCAAAGACTGACTATTAAAGTAGCATAAACATTGATTAAAGTAGTTATTTAAATGCGCCAATTATAATTTATTTATTTAAACAATATTTTGTGAGGGTGGTCCAACAAGAGCTGATCAACTGGGACCCTCAGAGTTTGTGTAGATGCATGACCATCAATATTAATAATAACATGACAGAAAAAACTAATAAATTCAATCAATTCATAATCTGAAAGTTTAATAAACTTGCGCTATTCCAGATTGATGTTGATGAATTAAAATTACTCAATAAATTTTTTAATTAAATTTTCTCTAGATATTATTAATTTTTTCTTCAAGTGCAGTCAGTTTGTTTGTTTATTTATTCAATCTGTGTTTATAGTTTTATTTTTTTCTGGACTTTCAGAATTCATTTCAGTTGGATAGACATAGCACTATCTGATTACTAATTTCAGTGGTGGATCCAGGTGAATGGGGCTCCTGTACACCTACAGAGCATAAAGAAACACCCTTCCCCTGCTGACCTCTGACCATAGGGTGCACCTCCCCCCCCCCCCTGCCAACGAAAAAGACCTGGGTCCGCCACTGAAATTATACTAGATCATTATGTACCAAATCACATTTAGGAAGAGAAAGAAATCAAGAAAAAAATACACAGCATCTAACACAACAACATCCACCTATTCCAGCCACTGCACAAATATTCAGATGCGAGTTGTGGAGACAATTTATAAAAAAAAATTCATATTGCTGTACCAAAAACTTTGTTTGGGATTTTTCGCTGCATGGTCTAAGGGAAAAAGGAGTATTTTTTTGGCCACCTCTTACCCTTCACGTTCTCGTCACAATTGGTACCTGCTATAAAGTTCCCTTGCTTTTGCCTGTCATTCTTCACAAATGCAGGAGTTACGTCCCTACCGGCCATCTGTGGAGAGAACTCCAGTATCCCATGGCCAGAGGCTTCATCTTCCTTGTGGTCACTCCCATTGAGGTGTGTTTCTATATAAGTCGCGCCTTTTGATGACTCCTTCACATCTGTTAATCAACATTATCGTAATGAAAACAATGAAATAAAATTAATGAACAGAAATGAAACAGTTTGAATAAATTTTAAGTGTGTAGCAAAGAATAATCTTGCTGTAGGAATCAATTCAGTGACACTCAAAGGCTCAGTGGTGGATCCTGGAAAAATTCAGGGGGCCCCCACCCCCACTGAGGTTAATTCAAGTTCAAGTTTAGTAATTGTTTACATTGGTGATGTTGGGGTGAAAATTAATGTGAACCACCCAAGTTTAAGTCCCACAAATAAAATGAAAATAATAATTAAATGACAAAAAAACTCCAATTATAAAAAATAATCATAATACAACAATACAAATATAAATTGCTGTACAGAGAGAGAACAATATATATTGTCTGTTGTCTACAAAAGGAAGGGGGTGGGGACACGAAACAGACTAGTCATCTGACATCAGAATAAATGGGTTAGGCGAGACTTTTTTATACCTTGTTTCGCCAACTTATTCTTTTATATATATGAAGGTGATACGGAGCCATGATGGCAGGCGGACGTGGTACTCGTATGGGTGCATGGATTTTCCTTGGAAGTGCATTATGCACATGTTTATTAACTTCATCTAGTGTTTGTGTGACTACTACTGTTATCAATGAGAGGTCCTATATCTATGTTTCGAACTCTTGGACTGGTAAATCGTCTTTGTATTTGCTAGGCCCAGCTAGGCCAGGAAATTGTCTCACAGCTGACAGTTTTCTCTGCACGGTGGAGCTTGGAATGTCTCCGGCTTAGCTTCGCGGGGCGGCCTGGAAGATGCAAATTTGGTGGACGGTGTGGTTACTATACCACTCATACTGCATTATTGAATATTCATCTGTTTTGAGGAGATATTCATCCCAATCCTGGGCCATTGAAAAATGCATGTTCAGTTTGTCAAAAATCTGTGGCCGCCAATCATCGAGCTATTGACTGTGATCAATGCGCTATGGATTGCCATATTAAGTGTGGGCATGTTTCATATTCAATAGTTGCTGTCTGCAAGACTTGGATTCAAGTATTAATGATGGTAAACTTTTGCTTAATGACTATGTTGTCTCTAGACGGGATAGAAATAGGCATGGTGGAGGTGTTTTGCTAGCTTTTCGTTCATCTTTAAACCCATGCCGCCACAGAGATCTAGAATCAGTCTCTGAGTCTTGTGAACTGATGTGGGTTCAAATTAAGTGAAGGTCTGGCATATTCTTTCTAATGCTTCTCTTCACTCTGAAATTTAAAAATGTGGGCTGTTTATTTGTTAGGTGATTTTAATTTATATTGTGGAATTGAGGCAGTTAATTGGTCTGCTAATTTATAATATTTCTTCAATCAGTTACAAATGTATTGGTATGTCTCAACTGGTTGAAAGCCCAACGTACACCACACTTGCAGGCGTTGGCCACATACTGCACCATGTTTGGATCTTTTCACCATTTTCTGTTACTAATGTAACAGTTATTGATAGTTTACCCTTATGTGATCATCTTGCGGTGCATATTGAATGCAATCTTGGAACATCTTCTCAAAAATATGTTTCTCGCTTGACTTAATAATAAAGCTGATTGGAATCATTTTGAGAATCTGTTGTCATGTTTACCTTCTAATCTTTTTTTAATGACAAAAATATTGATATTATTTGGGAAGGGTGGGTTGATATAATTACTGCAGCCATAAATGATTCAATACCTAGAGCTGCTTTTAGATTTCGGAATAAAAGATGGATTACTCCAGACCTTAGAAAAATGTGTGCAAAAAAGAAAAAATTGTACAAAAAATATAAGTGTTCTAGAAAAGCTGATGACTTGTTAATGTTTAGGAAGTTTAGCAAAAAATTAAAATCAGCGACTTGACTTTCTTTTAAGCATTATGTGAAAGGCCTTGCCAGAGATAAGTCTTTGCATTCTTTCTGGACCTATTTCGCTCAATGAACTTTGCTTTTTAATTATTTTATTGATGCTTTGAATTTTTACATTTTTTCCCATTTTTTTGTATATATTTTATGTTTTATATATCGTATCTTATTGTTGTTGGCCAGGGGTTTAGAGATGACCACTTGTAGTGTTGGGCTTTAGCCCATGAGTCATCTCTAGTCACGCACCAGGTCAATGTGTATTTATCTATATCGTGATGAATTTTTAATAAATAATAAATAAATAAATTTTAAAGATCGTCAGAAGAGGGTGGAAAAAAATTAAAATAAAATTTTGTTTCCTTATTTAAAAAATAGTTTTGTCAAAAACATCCAAATGGAGGAAAAAATAAAAATAACCTTTTATTGTTGAATGTGAACAGTGTATTAATTGGATGGTTAAATGCTTTAAATTTATATAATTAGCAAGAAATATTAGTATATATCTTATTTTTGGAGACGGGCAGCGACGGGCATAATAAATATAAATAAAAACTTTTTTTTCCTGAAATTTCCATTTTTCGTGGCGGGAGGTGCGCTAATTGGCCAAAAATAAAATCTTATTTTTATTTGAAATCATCATTATTGGCGGACAGCGGGTTAGCTAAGCAAGGTATAAAAATAGTCTTGTCTTATTCAAAAGGGCGTGTTTTTGAAGGCCAACATAAATTGATTCATAGTAGGAACCTGCCATTATTTATGAGGAATATATTACTTCAAAGATAGTGTGTAGTGGTAAAGAAATCTTTGAACAAAGGAAATGAGTGTACACATATCAGAAGATGATTGGAAATAACACAATGTAATTTGTGATATTTCAATGGAAGTTTAAAATCTGTGCTTATCATCATCATCATTAAAAATAGTTAATGTAACCAAAACATTTGTTTCTGGTTGAGTGCTTTTAGGACCTATGCTACAAGTACATTCACATGCATGCGAAATCAATAGTTTCTATCAACTGAATCCAGTGAAGATATCTATATATTACATGGTAAAGTGGCTGAGTGACCTACAATGAAGACCACACACAAGTCCTTGGTTCACCCACTACCTGCACCCAAACAACTATCATCCAATTAATGCACCAAGAAAAATTCCACGGTTAATCTCTTCACAATGTTAAGTCTGTGGTTCAATCCATAATTGAAGTATAAAAAAATTCTGCTGTGCCTATGAAAATTATTAAAATTTGTTGTCCAATCAACAAATTATAACATGCAATTGATATAGGGTACTACATCACTACTTTATGACACACTGTTTAGTTACTGACTTAATAACTATCAATAGGCTGTTATGGCAGAGTGCCTCCATAAAGTCCCAGTTTTCACAGGTTATTGAACTTGCGTATCAGAACCCATTCATTTCCGATTAAAATAACTCAATAAAAACATCATAATTTACGATATTATTAGTTATCAATACTTAATTGTTAATATAAATTTACAAGGCACAACTTATACAGTAAAATTACAAAGTTATGTCTAATGAAAACAAAAAAAGGAGGCAGTGGCTTAGCTGTATGAAGTACTAAGCCATATCAACCCTAGCATTGCTTAGTAAACTTGCTAAGCAAAAGTGCCACAATTTGTAGAGTTTTAAAACAAACAGTGGAATGATCCACTACACCAAGGGAAAGTGCAACTGAATAAACTGACTGGTCCTGCAATTTCTACCTCTATATTGTCTAAAATATAAATTGGAAAACTTGATAATTAAGTGAGAAATGCATTTAATTGTCGCAAACATGAATATTCTAAAAAGGTAAACATTTTACAAAAGCATCATTCCCATGCTGGTAAATTTACACAAAAAAAAAACCATAGTAGATTGCAGAAATTATCATTAAGTAAATTGGGTAATAAAAAAAAAACTTTTCATAACAATCTAAATATTGCATATTGTGAATATTAGGGTAAGTAAATATGGCAAGCAGCAAATAATATGCAGCAAAATCTATTAGTGAAAAGGCTTTGTTTCATTCATATGGATATACATATATAAATTTTATTAATACACAAGTATGCAAGAATTTTAAGCATTAAATTTGTTGAGTGGGGTACAATACCTTTCTGAGGCTGACTAGATTTTGAGACAGACTCCTTAGGCGCTGTAGACCAAAAGACACACCATTGCTGAAATTCTCATTTTATGTAGTGTTTCTTAAACAAAATTCTACCTTTGCAAGTTTAATGGTTATTTATCAGTGGCCATTCAAGTTTACCGCAACACATGATTTTCAATTTCTTATGGAAGTTGTAGATTACCTTTACTGTTAAGGTCTTACTGCATTTCTAAATGATTGAAATTGCAAGTACAGAAATATTTAGCCTATTGTTTGTGCTCAATTACCTTGTAATTTACCCAAAAATTAGTAGACTGAATTTTAAAAATCAGTCAAATTTTTCAGAAATGTTTTGATCACTGACGAAACGAAACTTTAAACAAAATTATATACAGGTATACTGAATTATTTATTGGTTTTATTTAACTTGAATTTTACTTTAAATTAGAGGATATGATAATGTTAATTTAGGCATGAATTTGTTACTTGTGATAAACTTGTATAGTAAATTAAGATTATTTTCAACATTTTGATGTTGCCTTCTGAGTGTTTTTATAGCAATAAATGACATGTTATAAACAAGATTCTATTAGCATACCATACCTTTTCTTTTATTTAGAGGTTTTCGTTGTCGCAACTTGCGTTTGTTTGATGATAGCGTTGAAGCTCCTTCGTCTGTGTCAGAGCTGCTTACTGGAGGATAATACATGTCCTCCTATACAGAGATATAAAAAGTACAGTTTTAATAATTTATCAATTTGAAGTCTTTAAAAAGCGGGTTTAACTAAAAAAATACCTTGTCACACTTTTCTACATGCGCATGGTCAACGAGGGCGTATACAGTAGATTTGGTGGCGTGCTGCACCTCAGTCGATCAAGGAGAGACAGGATATTTTCATAAAAATTACAACAGTCACAGGAAAAAAAAAATTAATAAATAATTTTAAAATTTTTTACTTTATTGTGTTATTTTTTTTATGTCTTCTCTGGAATTATATTTTTGGTAAACTAAAATAATGTTTAAATTGAACTTTTGATATTTTATAGCTGCAATATTTTTTTGTAATTGAATAATTTTTAATTTTATTTTTTAATTAAATTTTTGATATTTAAGCTGCAATATTTTTAATTGTAATTATTTTTAATTGTGATTTTCTTGAATGTCTTACACTGGAATTTTATTAATTATTTTCGTACTATATTTTTTATACTAAATTAAGAATTATACTGAGCTGATGATACTTTATTTAACCTGCAATTTTTTCTCATCACTTCTTTGCAATTTCCTGTATATATTTTTACCTAGTTAAGAAAATTGATATAATGAATATAATAAATAATAACATATTGATATTACAAATTTTCTAAATATAAGATTTCAAAGAAGATAATCATTAACTTCTGGCCGTGCAGAATATGAATCAAATATGATATAAACAGAGCTCATAAAGTCTGTTTGCATAAATTTGACAGGTACGATAATCATGACAGAGCATTTTGAACATGATTGATTCACTGAGCCCAATTTTATGGCCCCCTTAAAACATTAAAGTGGAATTTGTGTTTGTATGAGTATAGTAATTCATCAAGAATATTGATGGTTGGGAAAGTGATATTTTGTTGTAAGACACATCATTTATTGAAAATGCTTTTTCATATCATTGTTTTTACCTAACCATTGTAAAGTAAAGTATCTCAAATTAGTACAAACAAGAGAGCAACTATCCAAGTGGAATAGCATAGGGTAAGTTGCCAGTGGGAAACTACCAATGGAAAATAGCCAGGGGAAAGCAGCCTAAGACACATTCATGTCTCTCTCCACCAGTATTATAAATGGACCTAGTAATGAGAATGACTTGGAATGGAATTGGTCTGGCACTGTTTTGACCTATGTGACCAGATGCTCGGTTATTTGTGTATTCAATGATTAGGTTTACGGTAATAATTATCTGCACTTTGAAATACATTCTTAGATAGATATGCCGTGTATTAAAAGTGCCAAGATATTATAACTATAACTGTTACTGTGTTCCTTTAGCCATCTTCTTTTTGAAACTCTTGGTCGTCATTGACAAATACTGGATGTGTTAGTTGACATTACCATTACTGATGAACATAATATTGAGGGAGGTCATAAACAGAAACCAGCTATTAAATTCTATTATTATTTCTTTGCTTTAGCAAACTGTTCTTGAATACTAATATATTACAACAGTATCATGACAAATATTAGTACTTTTTACTGTATTATTGTTACTGCTATTATTATGATTACAAAAAAATTAAAGGAAGATCATATTTTTTTGTTTTCTTCATAATAGAAGAAGAGTTAAATGTACAGTACTAATATATTTACTCTTGTTAATCTGTGATGTAACTTGCAAGTGCTGAGATAAAGGTATTGAGACCTAAGGGTTTTCCAATTATCAAATTGATGCCAAAACCACTTAGTGGTACTCTTGATACATCCCCTTCAGCCACTGAAAGCAGGCAAAACAAATTAGAGTATGTGAGTTACACAATCTAAACATCTTCTGAAATAACTTCTCTCATTAGAATTCAAATTTGTCAATACATCAATATCTATAAAATGTTACGGATATAAATTTTTACATGAAAAATCAGATACAAAACTGATTTAAGTTCATCATAAGCAAGGATAAAGGAATGTCAAAATAACAAAAATAAAACTAAAAATACTGTACAGTATTAATATTAATATCAATAATACTGTAATAATAACTAAAAATGTTCAGATCTGGAAATACAGTATTATTACCATAACAATATTAATAATAGCAAGTTATGATCTATTACATTTAATATCATTAATAATAAAAAAAAAATACTGTTAATACAATAGATGTAAAAATTATAACATTCAAATATGATGATGATAATGAAAAAGATGATGATGATGATGATGATGATGATGATGAAAATCATAACAATAACAATAATATTAAATTACCTGAATTTAAGAAAAAAATAAATTAAAATTAAATTTATCAAATAATATATCAGAAGCCAAATGAAATTACTTGAACAATATTAATGATGATGCTCACAATAATATAAAAAAATTAATAATAATAACAATAATAATAATAATAATAATATTAAGTGTTATTCACTAACTACAAGGACTTTTTATATTTGTCAATAACAATCTTAATACACAGCTTATTCATGCAATTATGTTAATATATGATATACAGTGCAGTATAACATGGCAACTAATGACTTTTTTTCATTTGTATTCATGAAAATACATTAACCTTTATCTGAAAGATTGCCAGAGACGTCTAAATTAAATATCAAGAAGGCTTCAAATACTCAAAATGGATGATGTTTTAGCATATTATTTTTAGCATCATTCTTAGATATTAGTTTCCAATTTCATCATCTTCATTGCTGTTTATTGAGCATCACGTACGGTTTTGTGTTTACTTTAATGCCTTGCATTGTGACAAATGGCCGCCTTACGCCTACCAATCAGAGCACAGTGTTATCTTACAGATTCCATGTTTTCCTACCCGTCAGATACAAATACAAAATGAGACATAGAATCAGCATTCATGATTGTACAGGCCCTGTTGTTTGCATATACCGTATACTATAACACTAGCAAGATTGCATTTCATTTTCAACTAAGGAAGTATACTAACCCAATGACCTATAGCAATTAAGTTACGAATTTCAGCCCGATTCTACTACTACAATGAAATATTGGTAAATATTCATAATTTGCCATCATCTGTTAACCTGTATCGTTGTTATGAATGTCTAGATATTGTGAATACATGTGTCAAAACCGTTGTCGCTTATTATTGTAACAATGAATAGTACTAATAGTTTGGAAGATTTAATATAATGTCTACACCTGTGTATATAGCGGGGGAGAAGGCTACGTGGGCGGGTGCTACAGTGTTACGATATGGATATTGAGGATGTACGTTGAAATAGAGCAAATAAAAATCAATAAATTACAATACTGTGACACTGACATTTAGAATAGGACATTTAATTTAGAATCCACAATTTTGGAATCTTAAATATCAGCTTTTGGATTGATAGTACAATGTTTGACCTTTCCTATCCTGCTTAGACGAGACTTTTTTTATTTCTTGTTTCGCATACTTATTTTTTTAAAGGAGGGTGGAATAAAAATTAAAAATAAAATTTTATTTTCTTAATTAGCAAATACTTCTGCCAACATCATCCAGACGCAGGAGAAAATAAAAATAAAATTTTATTGGTGAATGTAAAATGGGATGGTTAAATGCTTCAAATTTACATAATTAGGAAGAAATATAAATATTCATTTTTTGAGATTTCAAGGATGGCGTAATAAAAATATAAAGAAAAACTTTTATTTTTTTCCGAAATGTCCACTTTTTGTAGCGGCGGGTGTGCCAATTGGCCACAAAGAAAATTGTATTTTTATTCGAAACCATCAATATTTGCAGTCAGCGGGTTCACTAAACAAGGTATAAAAAAAGTCTTACCTTAATTATACAATTCTATATCCTATATAAAAGTTCATACTAAATGTTATAATGGACAGAATTAATACAAATTACAATGACTAATGAGAATTCAAACTTCGCAATGCAAAATCACTAAATTTCCAGTGCAAGAAATTTACATAAATACTTTAGATCCTTGGTGGCAAATTCTTAATCTTCTCTAAGCAATTATTACTTGTAATCTACATTTTTAAAACAAATTTTAAGGGATTGTTGAACTGCTCGTGATCACACCGGCGAATTTTTAATTTCAAAGCGATTCTATTAATAGATTAAAGTTTTAAATTCCTAGCACATCTCATCTCGCTAATGAGCAAGTTACAGAACAAGAAGAGCAATCAAGTTATCATGTTACCCACCGCAACCCGTGTTTACTAGACTGACATAAAAATGTCACATGCTTAGGTTGTCACCATCGTCCTCATAATCAGGGATTGAAATTCTCAAGTTATGCAAATCAGATGATAGCCCGACATGATAAAATTATCTTAATGCATTAAAATAATCTATTCAGAAACGCATAATTAATCTCCAGGGTATTGTAGGAAGGACGCGTTTATAATTTAGACACAAGGATTGCTAATAGCATCTATAACACAAAGTTATACAGGAATACTCTAGTCTGTATTTGAATGATTAACTTTGAACCACTTATGTTTCCAAATAATAATAATAAGATAATAGGAGTAATGTTTTGCCCTGTCTGACGTATTATCGTACCGAATACTCGGTACATTCCCAAATACTTGCAAAAAAAATTTGCAAGTGATACGGGTAGGAATAGAACCCATGACTTCCAGTAACAAGCCTGGTGCCATAACCACTAGATAACGAGCTTGCTCGTTTCACCATTATTCAATACAATTTCTAAGCACTTGATACTTATTTATACAGATACAGTTTAATATTACTTTTCATTCAATGTTAATTAATTTAATTATTTTTTTCTTTCTAAAAAACGCACCATACCCCAGGTGATACCCCAGTGGCACATCATTCCACGGCTAATTGAAAGTGGCCCAATACCCCACAGCTTGCCAGACGCAGCTCCAGTCTGCTGATCCTGGTGGTAGACTAATCCGAACGTAACTGCATAAAGGATTTGTGTCGGCTGGCGATGCCCACGCAGTGTGAACTAGGCTTAAGTAAATGGATATCTAGCCAGACCGCTCATGAATATTCATCTCTAAAATAATAAGCTATAGGCCTGTGCTGATTTTCAAATGGAATTATTAAAAATATTGCTACAGTAGATATGGTACAAAGTATGTACTTATCACCAGGGAATATCTCATATAGATTGAATCTTCTTGAAGATAAATAGGAAATACATCATGCATAAGGCTGAGGACATAAAGAGTATAATTTTATTTCATTTAGCCTAATTTTAAACTATATTACATCTACCTAACTCAAATCTATATCATGATGCTACAATTTTTACATTAAAAATATCTGCAGGTAATTTAGGTTAAGATAGTGTTTGACACATGATGATAATAATCAGATTTTAAATATATCTATTCTGAGCAATTTGTATATAGTGCCAATAAAATTTTAAGAATGTATGAAGGCACTTTCTTTGTTATAAAACCCTGGTTGCTGTATCCATAAATCGACAAAACAATATACCATCTTCTAAGATCTCCTAGAGTTCCTAGCTGCAACACATTCAGCACAGACAAATACATTCAAAGAAATTAAACATTCTACCAGTTTAATTTAGTTTAGCCTACCTATTTATACTTATTGGTGGAGAGAGAAGAACTAGAAAAACAGTTATGGATTTAAGGCTCTGACCACAAGATTGAGAGAGATTTTAGTAGGATGGCAACTTTGAGAAAATGATAAAACGAAGTCATATATGCTACTTACATCTCGTAACTCAAATGTAATTTCAAGATTTTGTGAAAATTGCTCGTAGAATTCAGGATACATGCCTAAGATTTCCATCAAGTCTTCTCGCACAATCTTGTGCAAATCGCAATACGTTAATGCTCTAACATTGCACTTGGATTTCCCTACGGTTACATATTGGCAGAAATTTTCTCCGAATATATCGTCCTTTCCTACAATGAGAAATCCAACAATGTCAATTATAATCATTTATGAGTTTGCTCTCATTAATAGAAAATAGACTTCATAACTAATAAATTAAATAAATCTTAATAAATCAACTCTTGGTCATACAAAAATCAAATGAGATGTCAAATTGAGTCTGCTTTAACTGGTTTACAGTTGATTACCAGCGAATTTAAACAATATGGTACTGTACTATTTATTTATTTTATTGTTATTATTATTCATTTTATTTATTGTTGAAAATAATTAAAAACCTCATATTACACTTAAATATACAAATTCAGCAATCTAAATATTTAAATTTGATTTTTGTAAGCTATATATACATCAATTTTATTGGTTTAACAGACAGCATACAGCTATTGTTATTGTCTACTTATTGAGAATGTTGATATTTTGATGAACAAATCTGGTTATTTTTTTGTTTTCCTACTACCCATGTTCAATTACTAATATATGCTAAGCTTTAAAATAGTTGCTTTTTACTGATTCTTTTTAACTTATCTTTACATGCCACTAGTTAAATTCTTACATATTTTCATTCAATAACAATATGATGGTCAATAATGAAAAAATTTCTTCCCTTATATAAGTTTTGAATGCTGTAGACTTAAAAAAAAAAAAAAAATTGGAGGATGGGGACAGAGGATGTTAGGTGGGAAATAAGTAGGATGGGGAATTGAGGATGGGGGAGGAAAATGAGGATGGGGAAGAAAAATGAGGATGGGGAAAGAATGATGGCATGGGGGAGGATTAGGATGTGAGAAGTTAGGGGTTAAAGGTTAAAGCATACTTACCAAGAATTGCCATAACTATATCATCCTTCAGGATCTCTATTGAGCCCCTACTTATGAAGTAAAGGGAATTCAGCACATCTCCACGGTGAACCAGCGTGTCACCTGGAGGGGCATGTGTTGTTTTGAACTTCATAGAAAGCGCCCTCAGACAGCCTGGACTAGCGCCCTTGAATGCAGGGCAGTTATTGAGTAGATTACGATTTAGGTGAAGGCATATATCCGCTTGTAGGCACTCTGGAAAGCCTTTGAGGACCTACAAAATAGAAAGACAAAGCTCATAATACTAATATCAAGGTTTGGGGTACCCATGCAAGATATGGTTGATATATCCCGTATTTTTATACCTCCTTGATATATCAAACATACATTAAAGTTATCTGAAATATGCAGCGCCTGTTTGGCAAAGTAATTTAATTTAATAGGTGCAAGTGTATAGTACGTGTGTAAGATAATTTTGGGTCGGGACTATGTAGAAATGAAAGAGCACTGAACACATCAGGGTTTGTAAAGTTGGCTGCCTCATAGGATTGCTGTGTTATGAGTCTGCTGTTGGTTGTTCTAGATACTCATCGTGGTTTAGGTTGAACACTCTTCTCAAAGTATGTTCCTAATACAGCCAAGAAAATATGATATTATATTTATATAATCATGCCATATTCACATATAGAGTACTGTACCTTTAGAACTGTAATGAATACTATTACTACTGTACTTTAAATAATAATAATAATAATATAATAATAATAACTTTATTATATTATTACTTTTGATATAAAGAACAGTTGAATCAATCCCACCTCATTAATATGGTTAAAATAAATATACTGAATAAATAGGAGCAAATATCTTACATGATCAAACCAGTTCCATATGTTTTGCAGGCAGATGTCAAACCTCATCATTACAGACACCACTTACATTCATACGTCAGTAATTAATTGCTATATGGTTGCTGTAATTTTTTTCTGCACTTATGTTGATTACATTAGTTAGATAGACAAGCTTTTGTGACGCCTGTTAAATCAATAGCTGGCTGACCTGTTTAGTCATGGTGGTTTCTTGGTGATTTTGTATAGCATGGTTTAGTTTTATTTAGTTGAAAAATAATTAATATGTACTGCAGAAGGAACTAAAGAAATTTGTCTTTATGTGTTTTTTTATGTTCTGTATAAGGTAAAAAATCTCAGGTCTACTGTTTTTTTTAAATTTTTTTTTTTACCAAAAAGAAGCCTGAAATACTTGAATGATGTTTCAAGTGAATTTTCATAATTCACTGAGTCTCCGGAGGAAAGAAAAATATATGTTGTACAACTGATTTTTCTAAAACGCAAAATGGGTGTTATTCAAAAATATTCTGTATCTCATTAACCGTTCCCGACATTCTGACTTTAAATTCTTATCAAGAAAATCCCATTAAAGACATTTTTATAAAATTAGGTATAATGTAATATCAAATTTACCCTACCAATAGGTATTTAGGCTGTTAAAATCCATGTTGCTTATGTACAGTGTGGCCATTAGTAGACGTTTTTTCTGACATCTACAGGGTATGTTTAGTAGCCTGAGTTTGTTGCTGCCATTTACACAGCCTGGGTTATCCTGATATTTAGGAACTGGGCTGTTAGGAGCCTTTATTGTAACATACATAGTCTAGACTATTAGATGCATAATATTTAGAGCGTTAGCAGCCATCTTTTTCACAGAAGAAAGTGTACCATACTCGCGCGAATAAGCGCCTGGGCGCTTAAAATATTTTTTGCACTTTCTGATGGGCGCTTATTTAAACGGGCTTATAAAAACAGAGTGGAAATTGAGGGGGCGCTTATGGAAACAGATGAAAATTGAGGGATTCTTATGGGAAATTCTTAAATTCAAGAGGCACTTTTTGAATGAAGAAAGATTATATAAGGACAATACAAATGGTGGTTAGGCGGAAAAGATAATTGCCCAGAGAACATGGCTCATGACAAAAATGCGTGAATATTTACGTAACAGCAAAATAGCAGATGCAATTAGTGGTGGTGGGTAGTGGTTAGCATGTTGGCCATCGGCTGATTGAGATTAGAAGGATGGCAGGATAATTGTATTTTTTCTTAAAAACTCAGATGAGAATGTGCTAAAGGTAAAAAAAAGAAAAAGAGGAGTAGGACTAAGCATAGACAAATATGTAAAAGTTGGATATATACTGTCTGTCCAGGGATCTCATCTGTCCAAGAGAAATATCCTCATTTTGATATTGACCTAAGAAGAACGCATTTCCACTCTGCAGCTCAAATCATGCCAACAACCACAGTCCCAGGATTGATTGGATTATTGACTTGCTAAAAAGAAAATCTTATGATATTATTATAAGGGGCGCTTATTAAAATGGGGCGCTTAAGAAAATTTTTACGTTAGGAGGGGTGGTTATTCGAGAGGGGCACTTATTCCAACGGGGCGCTTATTCGCGCGAGTATGGTATATAGTTTCGTTTTGCAGCAATTTTATCATCACATAAAAATAAATTATACATTTAATATTGAATAGAACATTCCATCAGAAGAAAGTGTATATAGTTTTGTTTTCCAGCAATTTTATCATCACATAAAAATAAATTATACATTTAGTATCATAAAATTTATTTTCAACCTATTTTTACATTGTGAAGAAGTTACAAATAAGGTAAACATACAGCCCTATAGGCAGGTTTGAAAATGAGAAGTTCTGGACACGGGGACCTAGTTCCCCACCAGGATTGAGAGGGCCTGTTGAGAGGGCCTGTGCTTGAAAATGTTTGTTCAAAAATTGGTACTTTTTCCCTATATTATTGTTGTCCATTATTAGGCCTAACCTTTAATATTATAATACATGAACCATGGTTGATCTGGATTTGAGTTTTGCACCTCCAGCATAGAACAGACTACTGACCTTATTTAGGCCTTCGCAACACTCGTGAGGGGAGGGGTGTCTAGGGTAGGGGGAAGAATACGATAATTTTGTTGAGGAGCACTGTTTTGAAAAAAAATCATTTTTACAGTCTGAGAGTATCATTTTAGGGCATTTGAGGTGCCTATTATTAAATTTAGTCACCTTAGCTTCAACCATGTTGAAGGCAGAGGCGGGTAGGGACTCCTTACTGCATCCACACCATCCCCACCCCCCACCCTCAAAAAAAAGAAAAAAATCTGGATCCACCACCACTACTATTTCAGTCTACAAGCATTATTCATTAATATTTACATTCAAAAGTGCATCTTCACTTAAGGTGAGAAATATTCTTTTATGTGCTTGACATTTTCATATTGTTCCGTTCACAGACACCTGTAATCAAATCGATTATTCACAGAAGTCTTCCTACGTAAGAGGAAATCTGAGGTGGTCTATGCATCTATATTATACACAATCAGAGTGCTTAATAAAATCATCAGATTAGTAGTAGAACTTTGTCCTGTATGAACTCAATATCATTTGCTGATATATGTGATTATCAAAGACTTCGATTTTTTAATGCTCACCAAGCACATGTTTAAGCAGGGCAGAACTTTTAGCTTCTGTTTTTTTTATTGTACATATTTCCATACAATGATATGTAAGTATTGTACAAGTATATTCGTAATGCTGGTATTATCTTTTTAATTGGAGAGTCACCCAACCAGCCACTGTTAAATGGTTTTCTCAATCTGCTTTTTGTTGTATTATAATTGTGTAATCCTTGGCTTTGAACTTGTTCATGTTATTTTCTGGACCGGTATCTTGATTTTTTTTTGTATGTACCTTGATGCCAAAATAAGTTAAGTGCTGTGTTCTAAATTAGTCTTAAAACACATAGCATTAGTATTTTCCTAATCCTAATAATCCGGAGGCTCATAATTATTATGTTCATGCCAGTCATAATGCCAAGGCCCAGGGGTGGGTGGGCAAGCAGGTGGGTCTGGGCCAAGCTGAAGGGGATGCAGCATTTGGTGAGGCTGAGGAAGGTATGGACGCTAGCCTCTCGGTCGAGGGAAAAAGGACATCTGTCGGGGAAAAGCAGGTGCCACCCCCAAAAGCCTGCACATCACATTAATCGTTTCTGTGGTAAATTGCACACTCGCACATAGAGGAATTGAACCTATTCCCTTGAAAATATATAATAGGCACTTCAACGATAAAACCACAGCTTATTAGATTAATAGCATTTGTGATGGAACCTACCATATTCATATCAATGCCATTGGTATAGGACCAAGCGTGCTGGAAGTACTCTTCAAGTCGTTGTCGGAGAGGATTGGGTATTTGGTGAAAACGTATAAATTCTTTGACACGCAACATTTGCGTATAATAGCGTGCTGTACCCGAATAAAGCCTCTGTATAATGGCGGAGACATTACCAAAGATACTGGCATACATTAGAGCTTCAAGGAGAAAAAAATACAATCAAATATTTTTTTTAATTACACTTAGTTTTACAGTCCACCAATTCAATTGCAACATTTATGATATAAAATAAATACACATTTCCTGATTTAAAGATCTTTTACAAAAAAAAGAAGTGAATTTTTATTCTTTTTACCCCATTTATATCATTAATGTGGAGCATGAGAAAAATACAACAAAAAGAAAAATAAATGATAAAGAAAATCTGATTATGGCTATAAATTAATTAAAAGTTATTTTAAAAATATAATTATAACAACAAATAATAAATAAAGAGCAAGAAAAATTATCTACTTACAGCCAATTAGCATTACACAGATAGAAAATATTTTCTCGGAATTCGTGTTTGGCGACACATTGCCAAATCCTACACTTGTCAAACTACTAAATGTAAAATATAGTGCTGTTATGTATCGAGATTGTATCGATGGACCAGCAAGACTGCCATTATATGGCTGGTTAGTCTGTTCTGCCAGGTTGTCCAACCAGCCAATTTTTTTATCATCTGGTAAGGTGCCGTGTTCAACGTTTCCGATTGCGTACCAGATGCACGCCAACCAATGCGCAATAAGTGCGAAAGTGCACATGAGGAGGAGCAGCACTGCAGCACCATACTCGGAATAACGATCGAGCTTCCTTGCTACTCTGACTAACCGCAGTAATCGCGCAGTTTTCAGAAGACCTATCAATGTGGTGGTCTGAAATAAAGAGAAAAAATTGAATAAATACAAATGAACTATTATTTTGATACAACAAATGATTCTATTCCCTTCATGAATCTGGTATCGCGCCTTTTCCGTAGGCCCACAATCAGAGATAAACAAACACCAAAACAAAAACAAAAAGCCAATAATCATGGTTGTATAGTATCAACCAAAAAATGTACACACTGAACAAATCAATGCTGCTTTGGAAAAAGGGGGTTCCACCAACTGGAATCTATTAATACTTTGAATTAAACTATCTAATGATTTGCGTATTTCACCAATGGCCAGAATAAGCAAAGTTAGCCTGCGGTATCTGTGGTCAACATTTTTTAACAGAACATGACAACGATTTTGTGAGCGACCCTCTTTCCATTACAGCTAACTAACAACTTTTCAAGCAAGCAGTTGAATAACCTCTTGACCCAGCATATCACATCTAAAAAAAAATCTGTTTTTTTCTCTTAATTAATTTCTATAACCTTATCTAAAAATAATTGCAACCATTTGCTATTTGACAAGCTGCAGCTGCTTCTCACCTTACTGGAATAATTATAGCTAATATTATCCTTTATACTGTTACATTAGGGAGCTTTCAGCACGACATCGGTAGAACGTAGAATGTAATGACATCACTAAGAAGTCATCTACGCATGCGAAAACGTTAATTTCTCCTTGTCGCCTAAATTCTAGGACGTAATTTAGCTGAATCTACGTTGTGCAGAGAACGTAGGTCGCTCACGCATGCTCCGTTCTAGCATCGTGTTGTCAGGCAAATCTAAAGCTCCATGTATAGGTATAGTTTACATTAAATAAAATAACTTAAAACAAACTCAGTCAATAGATATAATTTAATAGCAAAGATAAAAAATTAAATAAGCAATGTACTTTGTTCAGCTTACAAAATTAATAACGAACAAAATGCAGAACAAGAAATAATACAAATATTTTCTATTGCCTATACTTAGCAAAGGTAGTTATTGATGTAGTATATAAAACAGATTTGTCTACAAGTTTGAGAGCTTGTATTCAACATTGATGTCATAATGGCCATGCTTAAAGTAATTATCGACCAAATAAAATTAGATACAAGTACTCAGAACGAAATATAGCCACAGATGGAATGCTAATTATAGATATTGTATCAAATATCAAAGCTGGAACACTTTCATAAGCATTTCCACAGTGTATAATAACATTTTTAGGATATACCTAGAAATCTGAAGAAAATATTTTAAGTGGTTTAGGAAGAATCTAATGGAGGTACTTCACATATGAAACTAATACTCAGCTTACTTTTTGTATTCTTAAATATTGTGGTTTTTTTTGGTTTTTTTTTTTTGCCTTGTTGTGTAATCTTCTTATTTACTATAAATGATAATGTTAATATTCCAAAAATATCAACCATATTTTGGGATCAATAATAAATATCAATAATATTTATCACAAATTCTATAAATAGGCAACCCACTACTTTGAAAAACTCAAAAGTACAAGATATGGTTAATAATAATAATAATGACAACATATATATAATAATAATAATATATAATAATAGTGACAACAATAATGTTAATAACAAAACAACCATATAAATTATAAATGTAAGTATAAATTAAACCATACTGATAACAATTATGATATAATCATAACAATATTAATAACAGTAATCATAAACAAAAATAATTACAGCAATAGCAACAATCCTATTAATATTTCATTGTCACTAATTCAATTATCAAATTATATTATACAAAAAAAAAATCAGAATTCCTATTTATAAATATAAAAAATACTAAAATTTACAAAATAAAATTAGATTTAAAAAAAATTCTATTTTTAGATTGTAATCCAATATCTAAATGCTTCAAAGTGTTGCACAATATATTTTATTACATTCTAAATACGAAATTGTTAATAAACGAAATTGGTCGAACGTTATATCTGCAGTACAATTTCATGGTCAGCCGTAAGGATAAGATATCAATCAATAATGCATTGTTCAGCATACGATATCATAGTCTTGAAAACCATGCATATCTAAATAAGAAAGGCGAGCAAATAGATCGGTGCAAAGCATTCTAGTAGGTCAAATAGGAAGTTGTCGTTTCATGTAAATCCTGCAAACAATGCTAACACTATGCCAACTAAGGGGTTAAGTACATTATTTACAGAAACAGTCATAAAATACAAAGAAAATAAAAAGAATTTGACAAAAAAAAACAAAACTTACAGGAATATTAGTCAAACACTTTTTAATAAAATTATACATTATAAATTAATATTTAATTTATTAAAAGGAGAAATCTATAATGTATGTGTTTACAAATTTTATGTATTCAAATAATAAAAAATACAACATCAGTTTTAGGGACATTAACTTATAAATAAAATTTAATACAAGTATATAGTCAATTATGCTTCCATTTAAAAACTTCGGACACAAACGAGCAAGAAATTGAAAGACGGTAGACATTTGGAAATGGACTGTAACCGGAGATATAAAAAAATTATTGATTTGATTTTATGTTTAACAATACATTACAATTTTTACCAAGGTACTTTAGTAAATCAATTATGTCCAGAAGTGATCCCCCATCCATCAAGATGATCACTTTATGCATGGTATATTAAATTGGCTACGTATTCTTTACACCACAATACACCTACAAACCCATGAGGGCATTAAACATACCTAAATCATATGCATGGGCACCGTCGCATGAATTCAGTAAGTCAAATTTTCAATATATAAGCCCCCAAGTTTCACAGGTTTCAACATTGCATCAAATAAATTATATCTGGAAACGCACATGCATGCATACACCAGTGAAGTGTCACATGAGCCTAAGACAATGTGACAAATATCACAGATTATTGTAGGATGCATAGTGCTTATTATATTAAATGTATCCCTAAACTAAATAATAATTATAATTGATGTCAATTTCCAGAGCACATTGGTCTCTATACATTTGAACCAAGTGTCCAATATAACAGAAGCTGTTGCAGCGCAAGGGTTAATGAAAGAAAAGAACAAATTTGATATGACCATGTAGGAAACTAATTCCTCCATGATATGACACATGAAAACAGAATAGAAATGATGTACCGTAGATTGGTGGTTAGATGCTTGCCTTTCAATTCAAGAATCCTGGGCTGAAGTCCTATCAAGTGACTGGATTTACAATAAAAACTAAGTAGCATAAATGAAACCTCCTTTATGTGGAGTACCATGTGTTGTGTTTGTCTTGTGAAAGGGATTGCCACTTCAAATATATAAGACAACGATTTTAATCAATTAAAATAATAATAAAAGTCTTTTAATGGCAAAGTCTAGAACATGTGCATAAATTAATATAATAAATAAAAGATAAAGATACAATGAGGGGCCATGACCACAAACTAAGGTAATGTATCCATACACCAGCAAAAGTACTTCAAACATTACCAGCAATTTCGGGCCACACCAAGAACAACATTAAAAAATCATTATATACGTGACCACAGCCTACAAATGCTTATTTATTTCCTTTAGGTCCTTTTCAGTTGTTGGCCACAAGCTCAGTAATTCACTTCCACAATCTGTTCAAGAGTCTCCTAATTTGATGATCTTTAAGCACCATCTTAAACCATTCTTAATTGGCAATCCCTAGTTTCCCTCTACTCTCCTGTTTTGTTATTTTTTTTCCCCTTTCCTTTATTTGTGTTGTTTTTCTTTCCCATTTCAACCATTTATTCTGGTTTTGTTCTGCTGTGCTGGAAAGCACATTGATGGATGTTAAGTGCACACCTATTGACCATTATTAATTTACTTGATAGAAAAAAAAGACAACCATAAAAAAATGTACATGATATCAGTGTAGGGGCTTCATCCACAGGATAAATAAGTTGACACCAGACACATCAAAAAATGCATTGTAAAAAAGCAGTAAGTAAAGTGCCAATAATAATAATATTTATCACATGGAATAAGGCTCCCATAAGAGGCAGTAAGCGGATTAACGCATTATCATGTTGACAAATTTCTATCAGAGTACATGATATTAATTGTCAAACAGTTCAGTATCATCAATAATACAACCTTGGAAATTACTTAGAGACATTTAGTAGAAAAAATGTCCAACTATTGGTCTTTATTGAAGAGTTATAATAATATGGAGAAGGTTTCATGATCTGCATATTAGAATATGTTAACATTTAGTAAGGAGCTTTATATATTATCGTGTAGAAAATAATTAGAATATTGCAATTTGCAATAAGCGCTTGAATTTAATACAATGCCTTCTGAACACGGATAATTATAATAGAATGCAAATTAATGAATATTAATTTAGTAATCCATTAATTGAGTTGTGCTGACTTGGCTATGAATATGTAATGATATGCATGAGTGCACGAACACTATGCTGGATAGATAGCGTAATTTGAACGCTGCCAAACAGTCTCAAAAGAGTTGATGATCATGGATGACATAACCGGCATCTATTTTGCGCCTACGCCCGCGTTACCAATGCCTGTTAGTGCAAGTAAAACATAACAGGCAAGACAAAAGGGAATTGTTCGAGGGTGCACTGACAATTTAAACACAAACCTTGGACAGCAAGGCTCAACCCTTGCAATGAAAATTTGCGTGAAATGAAGACGTCAATACAAGCTTGAAGGATTTCAGATAATATAGTTGTTAAGAGTGTATATTTTTACTATTGTATTGCAAACGACATCCTTGAAAATACCTTAAAGTCAGACAAAAAGGTGGAAAAAAAGGAGTGGTTATGAAATCCTCTAATGATCAGTGGCAGACCGTAGGGTAAATATGCAAGGGGCGTGCACTTCCCTTCCCCTACCCCTGAAAAAAAATACTCGATTAGATCCCTTCCATTTCAAGACCCCTACGCCACTGATGCTAGGGCCTGCTAGTGATAGGAAAAGTTTGTAAGCCTATTACTTATTAAGAATCAGATTGCGTTCTATAGTCAAAATACAATGTAGGCCTATGTTATTTTTAATACCGGCATGGTTGTCTTCTCTTCAAAAGAATTCTTATTCCTGTATTTTAACAACTTTCAATTCAAATAATAATAATTCAAAGTTTCTTCTACACCGGTCATATGTATGTAAATATATTTTAACTTTAATCATTCAGATTAGGCTTATAGATAGAATACCCGATCAGCAGTGGAGTTCCCGATTTGTGAAAAAGAAAAGAGTGTGCGCACATTGTCATGGAAGCACTGCTTCCATTCCAGTGTTAAACTGGCTATTCTGACGCCACCACACGGTTGTCCCAATATCAAATTTAAGCATTGCAGGGTATGCTCTGACTTCCATTGACTCACTGAATACGTGATTGGCTGATATCGAAGACCAGCCATGCGGAAATTCTAAGCAGCTAGAGTACGATGCGATAGGCCCGACTGTGACAATATCCTAGGTACCAAAGTAGGCCAAACATTGAAAAACTTTCCTATTCCAAAGAACTGTAGCATTCCACTTGAAAAATTAAGGTGTATATAGAAGATCTTGACTAAGAAATGCTAAAGAAAATGGAGAAAACCTTGCTTGCCTTGACGGTCCGCCACTGCTAATGATTCTATAGGTGAAGCCTTAGTTGGTTTAGATATCTTTCCAAAACCTCCTGACTGGCTAGGGGAGGATCCACAGGTGTCCGAAAGGGGGAGGGGGCCCAAAGGGCGGAGGGGCTGTAATAAGTATGCAATTAGGTAAAAACTTTTGTACTTGTGTACCTTTGGAAGTTGATAAATGCTTATTTGATCTTTTTTTAGATAAATTTAATGTTTAATCTTAACACATTTAAATCCTAAATCCATGTACACTGTTATAATTTTTCTATTTTTTTAAGTCATGTTTAATAGAGTTGTGTTGAATATGCAGAAATAGGTGTTCTCAGGAGGCAACGTTGCATGTCAGTGCACAAGTTTTTAAGCTACCGGTAGTGATAAATAATTCACATGATCGTTCATGTATCAAATGAACGATTAATAATGATTGTAAAGCACATTGATCAAGAAACCTAATATCGGTATCAAAACATTTATCATTACCAACTCAACAACCTCCTAAACATATAATTAAATTCTTTAACTGCTGAAGTTGACATACAGAAAATGTTAATGTTAATGTTAGAACAAATTTTAAACAAGAAATATTTCCTATAAAAAAACTTCTGTAGCTTATTCAATTTCTATAATACAGCTACTTCCAAATTTATCCGATGTGTAATTTTTGTTAATATTATTATTTAAGTTAGTCCTACAGAATGCTTACTTATTGTTAAGGATAGGCCTAATTTTACTGCAATATGCATAAACACCATGGGTAACCCAATACTTATTGGGGTCCTTCTGGTGGAGAATGGGCAGTACACCAGAAGAAAATCCCCTACACTCATCCGAGGGAAACAATTTAGTAATGTATTTTTAGACACTCTTTTTTCACGTACAATCATTAAAGGGTTAGACCACTTAGATTCTTAGCCTTTCAAAGCATGTCGGATTATTTAATAGGCTACCATTAAATGACTCATACTTGAGTCATAATGATGTGCGATATTTGAACAACTTCAAGTGAGAACGAAACAGCCTTTGCAACTGTGATTATTTGGTATATGGTTGCTTCAGGTAGTTTAATCCTTCATTGACACATTTACACATATAACAATAAATTATATGCGTAAAAGCCAATGTCATATCAAAGGTACTAATACTGTATCCATTCCATGTGGGAATTTAAGTAGCTTTTTCATGAATACCACTCGTGTATACGGTATACCTTCTAACTTTGTGACTTGTATGAGTGCAGTGGTGTATCTAGGTATGTGCAGGGCACACGCCCCTCCCAAAAATACTCGTGCCACCCTAGCCGCGCCCCCAAAAATTACGCTCAAGTAGTTGAAAATTACCTCAAACCACCTTATTTTATTATGTGCTTATCACATTATTACTACCCCATTTTGACAAAAACCAAACTGCAAACGCTGTACCAAGCAATTGCGCATTGACGGATGAGTGGTTTAAAATTTAGTCAAACAATCTGACAGGTCATTTGAGGGTAGCTGTTGACCATTTTATCGTATTAATTTTGAAAAAGTGCCACCAACTTCTCACAACTCACTAAGGGACTTCCAACAGCCTAGCTTGAGCAGCTGGTTAGTTACAAACAGAGCACCGACCTTTGCTATAGCAGCAGTAGACAACAGAATGATATGATCTTGCTAATTACTTTTTCATTGATTTAATCCATGATGGTAATTACGTACAGCGAAATGCTTGGCCTCTGAAAGTCCCCCAGTGGTAGTTTGCCAGGTTATAGGAAATTTTTATTTCAAATTTCGCGAAAATGGTCTATGAACAATATGAAGTATTCAACTCACCTCCTTATTTCTTGCACCAAACAGGAGCAGATCAAATGGAATTGCTGCTACAACGTCAATGAGAAACCAACCTTTAAAATAGTGAACCGCAATCTTACCCGGGTGCGAGACCACCTCATCGTTTTTATTCACGTAAGTAGTCCGGAAGTTTATCAATATATCAACAATGAACATTATATCAACTACTAAGTCTATGATTACTAACGGGTCACTGTAATTCCCCGTATCACTCTTTGCCGAATCTCCTTCCGTGTTCTGATTTTCCTGGTATGTTCCTTCACTGAGAAGGAAAACCGCAACATATGGCGTAACAATAGCGGTGTAAATAACCAATAGAAGAATGATCCAATCCCATGCCGCTTTGAAAGGCGAGTAATGAAGTATGGTCCACTTATGTATACGTGGTGATTGAAGTTTATATTCTGGAAGAATCTCCTGACCTAGTGACAGCACCTACGATATAAAAACATACAATTAAATTTAATGTAATCAATTATATAAATGTTTATCTGGTTTCATACATAATATATACATAATATTGATTAGGAACTGGGGTGATCAGATCAAAAGTTTGTAAGTAAGTAAAATAAACTTATTCTTTAATGGTCAATGGTTATCACTTGTATAGCGCATATAAAATTTGTCTTTATGCGCTATTCAGAACAACAGAAAAGAAAAAAAAGATCATTGATAATTATATTGCAATATTATGTATTGTGTGCTAGAGTATAATGCCTTTTGGAAAAAAAATATTTACATTTTATCTTGCCTTTCCAAGGCACTACAAAATCATGTCGTTTATTAAGTTTGCAAAAAAAAAAAAAATTTAAAAAAAATCAATCATTACTGGGTATAATAATATAGTAATATAGGAAATAATATTATTATTTTGAAATGAAGTTGTAAAGATTCAAAGACACTTTGTTAAATTATGAAAAAAAAGTTATTATTACCATACATTACATTTTTAAAAACCCCAACAATAATAACTTGCCATAATACACATCAACCAGTGCAAAATATGTTACAATTTTTGTAAAGAAAATCAATTATTTTCAAAAACTCACAGCAGCCAAAAAAACTTTGATTTGTCTATATTCTTCCTGTTTAAAATTTTTTTTAAACTACTATCCATAAAAATCCAAAAACAAGAAAAGTAAGGAAATCATTATCAAACAGAAAAAAAGAAAATTTATAATTAATGAAAAAACCATTAATAGTAATAAAAGTAGTAGTAATGATAATATTAACCAAAATAGTAAAAATAATATAACTTACTAATTCTTATATAGATAATATTACTTTATTTTACCAATATCAAGTTTTTTTTTAATTAGTGTAATTTTTTTCCATATATGGTCATAACATTATATCACACCCATATATGGGCATGATAGTGTCATATCACACCCATATATGGTCAATTCACATGAATTTGTCACAAATTTGGTTGTGATCAGAGCATAAAATCCTCTTATAAAAATACCCAAGAATCCAAAGATGCAAATATCATATTCATCAGGAATGTAACAAATATTTTGATATTGAATATTCAATGTTGTAATAACAGGAAAAATGAACTGAGCAAATAATGCCACAGCTCCCAATCACTGTGCACAACATTATTATTGTGCTGAGTTCTTCACCATAGCAACAAAAGATTTTACAATCAAATATCAATTCTTAATGTTTTTCTAATTGATGTGTGAAGCATCTTCGATTCACCACACAAAAAAAGAGATTTAACTTATCCATATACATAAGGAAAATATTTAAATATTAAAGTATATGTTTAATATATAATATCAATATATCAGCGATCATTATTTTGCTCACTTTATGACAAAGTGATGAATATAAAGCTTCTAAAACTAATTAAAGTCAGTTTGTTTTATTAATCTAAATCATGTTTTAAATAGAATATCAATATATCAGCATTCATTATTTTTCCCCACATATACTCCAATAAATACATCATTTAACTTATACATATACATAAGGAAAAATATTTAAATATTAAAGTACATGTTTTTAATATAATATCAATATTTTGGCAATCATTATTTTTGACCACTTTATGACAAAGTGATGAATGTAAAGCTTAAACCAATTAAAGCCAGTTTGTTTCATAAATCTAAATACTGTATAAGATTTTAAGATTGACTTCATAGAAAATGAATACATGAGACATGCTAGTAGTATTGTCCTATTTCCAATAGTCAATGACAATTAATTAATATTATGTCTAAATCTTAGCATATTATATTAATAAAAAGTAAGTCTAAAATTATTAAAATTTTATGTTTCCAATTTTTTTTTAAAGATTTTATGACAGACAATATATGCTGAAGTACACTTTTTAAAATTTTTTTTTATAAGAACACATTTTATAAGAACATTGAGGTTGAAGTTGCCAAAAAATTAAGAATAAAAATGAGAACAAATTGCGGGTGAGTTAAAATGTCAAATGAGGTTTTAATAAAAAAACAAAAGAAAATAGAAAACCAATATATTTTATTCTTATTTGCAGTATGTAATACCCTCTATAATACAATACAGTAATATAATGCTGTACTATAATAATTTTCCATGTTTGTAAAATGTTTAAAACCGAGAACAAAATAAATACATTTTCAGCCTGAAATCGGCAAAAGAATATGAACACTGAGCCTGAGAAAAGTTTTACTGGTTTTTATAAAAAAAAAAGAAGTGTATTTAAATCTAGAACTTTGTATGACTTTAAGAATGAATACGAAATGCAGCTGCACACATTTGTGTAGTAATATACAGTAAATAGCGTCCACATCTAACATGTTTAACATATTTGTAGTAGTAGTGACTTCTATGATTCCTTTGAGCTAACATGCCCATGATTCAAGTAGCACTTAATGTGACAGAGGAGGGTAGATATCTTTGTTATGAGATTCATAGGATTTCTGTCAGCAAGTAACATATGATGCTTTTATCTAATAACAACATAACTTAATTAGAGTCTCCCTATGTTGGTCAGCATATGTGGCAAAGACAAGCCAAACCAGTCTCTCGTCGGAAAAATCAATTTTTAATTATTAATACAGGGTTTAACAGTAAAATGAAAGCTATGAAATGGTAAAAGAATCATTTAAATCCGACACTTTTTTTTATTAAGTTACAAAAGTTTAAACATACAGCTGTTTAAAGAACAATATTTGAGAAATCAAAGTTTACGATTTCAGGCATTTCTTAGGCAGAAACCATCACCAAATCGTTAAAAATTGTTGTTTTAACATTGAAAATGAGGAAAATAACAGCATAGCATGATGTATGGATATATAAAGTTTAGTTTAGTGCAATAAAATTGATTTCCAACATTTTGAAATTCTAGCACGTTTTGGCCATTATCTCCAAAACAGGATTTGCGACGAGTGACTGGTTTGGCTCGTCTTTGCCACATATGTATACTTGCACTACAATGCCTGTAATTTTGCCTGATTCTACTGTTAGTAGTGTTAACATAATTACAGCATCGAGCAACACCAACAACAATGCCTTAACCATTTCTCCTATTTCAAAGATTCTCACTTTAGTAACAGTTTTGAGTGAAATTTTTGTTGTTGTTTAAGCTTAATCACACCACTCTGTACTAAAAAATAATTCATCAGAAATTAGTAATTCACCAAAGAATCATCAACAACATTGCCTTGGTTGTGTTCTAATTACTTTTGTTGGCTGCCAATTTTGAGTACATTCAACTTTTAAGAACAGAGTGTCTGTATAAGTATTCTTCATGGGGAATAAAAACCCAGAAAAGACCAAGTATGAAGATTGTGTATTCCTTGTCTGTGTCAAGGTTTGGAAGTGCCACACTAGTATATTGAAATGTCACAGGCCACCGGCATTACCGTAAATACTCCAGAAGACAAAAAAAAAACAAAAACCATGATTTTTATTTTGTTAGGTGCCACTTATTCTATTTTGAATTAACATCGCGGCACTTAAACAGGAGTACATACCCAACACATTTTGAGGTTTCTTACCGGGATACAATTAAATAACTGATTTCCACCATTAGAAGAACATTATAAAATTGTGACCCTCAAACAAGTACAGTTACTTAATAAATCTCGCACTACAGTCTTTTATGATAGCCTCATCCATCATTCCAAATATTATGTACCTCTTAGCCACATTTTGATGTCTCTTATCATCCGAATACTACTAAATAACCGATTTCCCATGGATTAAATTCATTGTATTTTAGCACTATAATAATTTGCACTAAGTGCCGAACTTGGATACAAAAAAATATGTAAGTACCGCATCATTCATCATACGTCGAATGGTTGTAACGAGTCTCTATGCACATAATAATCACCATCAAAACAAGACAAAACAAAATGGTAAGTACAAATTATTTCACGAGAGGGTGTAAAATATTGGATATATCAATAATAGAAAAATATTCTTTAGAAATGGCATTTTTCAAAATATATGTTCAACCTGTTAGTGGTGGTTTTCGCTGTTGGTTTCAAACTGAATAAAATAAAAAATATAATAATGGAAAGGTATGAAAACAGTGGCCTAATAGCTGATTTTATTATATTCATTTGCAATAGCAGCCTTTTCATTTATGAAACTTTTATTCTTTCACTAAATTACCTTGGTAAACTTGCAAGTACTGGCATTAAACTTTAACCCATCTAGACACATTTTCAAAAGCAAAAATTATTCAACTATGACACTTTGTATTAGGTCAGTGGGATTCATTGTATCCCTAGGGCATTTTCTGAATATATGAAATGAAATATCAATTTTTAATTCATTTACTGTATAAAAAAATACATTAAAAAAAAAACTGTTGATAATTCAGAGCCTACTGAATTATTCTACAATCAATCTAAATTTCCTACAGTCACTTGTGATGGTATAATTTTCCGACAAACTAACTCTATGTCTCTGAAAAGGTTAGGTCTTTATAAGCAATACTTTTTAGACATTAAATATGCTTAACATTGTAATATACCACTCACTGTCTGTATGAACACCCTTTTGCTCACTGTTTTATACATGTTATTGCAAAGAGTATTGGCCCACAAATTAAAACAACTTGATGTAAAGTAGTAAATTCTACTTCCGAAATATGCACACGAGAAATATAAGTTATTTTACCACCGAGATAAAACCATGCTGTATTTGACTTTATCAATATTCACCAACCATTATTAGTGGCATAATGTACAGTCTGGTGGACCGAAATTAGTGGCAAAAAACTTTAGTGTAACAAAAACAAGTTTAATTCTATGTACTAATTGTCAGGACAACCAACTCCAATCCCACCTTCAAAAAGATGTATTGTAGCTGCAGACAATCAAACATTCAAATAGCAGAAGTTGAAAGATTGTAATTTTTTACATAATTATAAAACTAAACCTTGAGTATTTATAACATTTCGTTGTCTGTTCATAAGCTAATTT